TGACATGAATCTTCTCTCAACTGTTCTGAGACCAATTACGCCAGGTAAAAAGGAATCACCTCCAATGTCATTTTTCTTAGCTTCTTTCTCATGCTTCTGCCAATAAATTCTTCATGTGACATATAGAACATTTTTTGTTAGAACGTTAGCCATGTTTAGATGTGTACTACACATATCAGCAATGTAATGTTAATGAAAATCAAAGTTAACTTGAATTATTTCCCATATTCTCCTGAAAGCTGGCAAGCTCTGAACACATTGAAACCAATCTCAGGGTTTTCAAAATGCTAAGAAAGATGAGGATTTCAATCATCACAGATACTGACCCATCCACAAATAACAGATATGTGGATAAAGATGTGATACACCCTATCAAAAAACTCCAAATCAGTAAAGCAATAGCTCCAATCACACCTTCAAGAGAAAAGGTCACACCCTATATCCTCGGTTTCACAACTGAGTGTATCTAGTGGAGTTCTCTGATGGAAGATACAAATGTGATTTGAGATGGACTATAGATTCCTGCCAGAGCTGAGAGGAAAAGGGAAGCACTTCATAGTTGCCACAAGAGAAATCACTAAATACATAACTTCAATTTTCACTTACTTGCTTGTTAGCAGTCTCAGATCTCCTACACCAAGGCTGTAGGGTGGTTTAAACTGATTGTTTAAGCTTGTTTTTAACCACCTGGTTTTGATCAGGCCAAGCAAATGAAACTGGCCAAAACTGACTTTTATATATATGGAATATGAAAGTCAACTGATATGATGTGACTACACAACATCAGGATGACTTCATAAGGAATTAAAGAATAGCTTTACTTTTGGACTTACCAACATCCAAGTTTGAGATACTAAACTTCCCACCTTCACTAAACAAAAGAATAGGATGAAAAACTTTCATATCACTTATACCTGTAGATACTATTGGTCACAAGTCTGTGAAGTGGAACACAATTTAAACAATATTCCCTCTTCAGGAGCAGTAACAGAGTAACTGACAAAATTACCATATCAGGACAAATTCTTCTCCAGCACTCCTTCAAATGTCACCAAAAAAGTAGAATAGAGAAATTGAAGTATACCCAGATATGTCTATATAACCCTTTTATTTCTTGCATTAATCTGAGATGGAGATACAAGATACCTGTCAGTTGGAATGGAAATGCTAATTGCTGAATTTTACAGCAGGCCAGCACTAGTGGATCACATATGCTAGTTTAACATATGCCTGAATGAGTCCAGAGTTAAAAGTTCTGACAATAAACAAAAGCGGAAGGCCGTAGTATCTCAGGTCCAACCATGTTATAGGGACTTCCGTTGAGGGTGACCAAGACGAATCAAATCCAGCGTGATGAGTTCGGCTCGGGTTCTCCATACTGCTCAGTCGTCGCCCAAGATAATCAGGACTGCGATAGTCACTGTACGCCCAGGGTGACTATTGATAAGTTGGCTACTGGGGCCGGGCAATCCGATGTCTCTGGGTGCGTCGGACCCCGTCATGCTACATCCAGGCCTATCGGTCGGCTTGCCACCGGCCATAGCGTACTCTCGGCATGATGCCCCAAGGGCAGACCAGGAGCGGAAGCTCGGGTACTCCATACTGGCTCAGTCGTCGCCCAGGATAATCAGGACTGCGATAGTCACTGTGCGCCCAGGGTGACTATTGATAAATTTGCTACTGGGGCCGGGCAATCCGATGTCCCTGGGTGCGTCGGACCCCGTCATGCTACATCCAGGCCTATCGGTCAGCTTGCCACCGGCCATAGCGAACTCTCGGCACGATGCCCCAAGGGCAGACCAGGAGCGGAATCGAACGGTAAACGTACGGCATACATCAAATTGAATTGCGTGGCGTAGTTCCTATCCTTCTCTGGGCAGTGAGATTTCTCTCTTCCGAGGTTAAACAAAACAAATACATTCATCAACAGTCCTGTCAAGATCACTCCATTGTGAGCGTGAAACATGAACATAAGCTGAGAGAATGAGATGTTGTTCGGAAGAAGGTAGCACTGCTTTACAATTCGTATTCTGTTGCTGTCGTGCCTTGCAATTATTGAATATCGTATGAACGAAAGTGAAAAACGTCATAATTGAATAAGGTAATTTCCTTCTCTTTCGGAATTTGCAATTCCATCTGCAGCCACACTCTCATTCCAAATGATAGCTCCCATTCATGATACTGGGTTTTTCTGATACTGAAGGTATCACACACACACGTCCTAAAGACGTGTATGTTGCATTTAGTGACGGTTGGTGTAATAGCTGTATTCAGTGACAAAGTTCGAGACCAGCGTGTTGTTGAATGATACAGTGTAGTGAGTAGTGAAGAGTTGATAATGACAAGCAAATGCTTCCTACGTATGGATGTGCTTCCATGTTGTGTATGCATACTGCAAGATGGAGTCCAATTCCACTTCACATATTTTGAATGAATACTTAGGAAAAATGGGTGTAAAAAAAATACCGGCTGACTGACTGACGCTAATTTTACCCCCATGTTCTAGAGAAGTTAGAAATCCGTAACTTGGTACACATGTACCCTGTGAGTTGCAGAATTCAGAAAAAATCCGACTTTGGAGGTACATGCCCTGGGGTTACATATTTTGTGGGGGGAAGTTTTAAAATACAGGGCGTTTCATTTATCTATAAATTGCACATCTTTGAACGCTCATATCTCTGAGAGGACGCAACACAATGCCACCTGCTTCCCCCCTGGCATCCCTGGGATGGAGCTTGGTACCCCCTTGGAGGTATGATTTATCTCCCCCAATATCACTTGGGTGGGGTTTGAGGACTCCTCCCCCTCGGCTGCCCCACCCTCACCTATGGTCATGAACTGTGGAAAGCACCAGATCGCGAATACAAGCTGCCGAAATAAGGTTCTTGCGTCGAGTGGCTGGCGTAACGCGCCGTGATCGGATGCGGAACTCTGCCATCCGCGAGAGTCTCCACGTCGAACAGCTGCTTCTCCGGATCGAGAGGTCTCAGGCCAGGTGGTTTGGTCACGTCTGCCGCATGCCCTGAAAGGCTCCCAAGAGGAGTCTTCCAGACCAAGATGACCGGCAAAAGACCTGTCGGTAGACCTCGTACAAGGTGGAGTGATTACGTCGCTCGGCTTTGCTCGGCATCCCACCAGCTGAGCTTGAGTCTGTTGCCCAGGATCGAGATCACTGGAGGAAGCTCCTGGGAATGCTCGAACCGCAACCCCATTAAGTTGGGAAAAGCGACCAAGAAAATGTATGTATGTATGTAATGCATGTTTCATCTTTGTGTCATTAATGATTACTCAGGGGACCATATAATTAGAATGAATCATTTGTGCTAAAAATTTTTTTTCTTCTTCCCAGATTAAAGCATTCTTTGATATATGAAAGAATGCTTCACAACTAGAAATACATTTTGAGAATTTTTAGCATTAAAAGCCCTTTAAATTTGCATGCAAAAAAAATTCACCCCTCCTGCAACAAACCCATATGCATAGCATACTCCATGAGGAAAATGGAAAATTCTAAAAATAAAACTTTCCTGAGTTTTCTTCTTTTCTTTGGATCACAGTATGTACTGAACATCAGGCTTCCTGTAACACAGTGACTGATGGCATCTGATTGGCTGATTGCAGATTTCATTGTAAACAAATGGTAATTTGAACCTTTTACTACTAAATTTTTCCCCCATTAATTTTATGGCGTAGATGTGGCATACATGTGCAGAACCCTTGAACAGTTTCTGACTTATCAGTCACTCAGTACATCTGTGGAGGTTCAATTGCAGTAGAGCAACCAGGATTCTCTTCAGATTTCAGGCCATGGGATTTTTTAATGGTTACTGATGCCATGTTGCATGTAGTATATTGGTTACATATGAAAAATTAAAATATAAATTTATTTTGGACTCTGTTGCATACTAGCTTCCTATAGGTAAAGTGTTCCTCAGGTTGGTGTGAATAACTGCACAGAAATTTTCTTCCATCATTCAGTTCAGCTTTCTCTGGGCACCTCCTGGCTACAAGGTCCCATTTAATATGGTCACAATATCAAGAATTTTCACTCGGTGAAATTTCATGCTTGTGATAGCCAGATCCCAACTTTCAATTATACTCAGCTTTGAGGATGAAAAGGTTAAATACAATTTTTCATATATTTATCTTCCTCCCAAGACATCTCCTTTTAGACCACTATGACTAACTTCTCCTGCTGTATTTCAACACCTTTCATAGAGTATATAGCAGAAATTCCAAACACGTTATTGAGTCACAATGAAATCAACCAGCATCTTATACAGAGGAAATGATATCAGGTCATACAGAGACACTTCCTTTGGCCAAGGGGTCAGGAATATTAGATCTTCTAAGATCCCAGGGTGCACCATTATAGATGCTTCTGAATTAATGCTTCTGTTTGCAAATAAATTTGCACAGTAATTTATAAATTATGGAACCAACCACAAAATGTTTTAATTAGACTAGGCACTTGCATTTCCAGAGTAAGCCACAAAGCAACAATTGATGAGACTGCAATGCCTATGAAGACAACATAACTACCTAGAGAAACAGTTTCTTTGCTGCATAGTTCTAGCACCAACATTTCTACCCTTGAGACATGCATGTATCTAGCGATCCAAACAAGAAGTTCAATGGGTGTTCTCCTGAGAGCACCCAGCAAATACCTGGCTTGTACTGCATATGTGATGACAGCGAACCCTATTTCTTCCAAAGCATCTCCATAATATAGGTGATTGAAAAAGGACCAGACCAGACAACACATTTCAGAAAAAAATGCCTGTCTCTCAAAGCAAGGTGTACCAAAGGAAGCATACTGAGACTGCATCATCTCAACTGTAAGGATGGATCCCTGAATAGATGCTATTCTGTCTCGATATTTCCTCATGATGAACAGTTTCATTTGTGCTCAGCCAGCAAATTTAGTAACAACCACATGGTGAACAAGGAGTGAGGAAGCTCACACACAAGAATTGGTGCAGGATATTCCAGAAACTTACAAGGAGAGCAGAGGTGCTGAGAGCAGGGCGAGGAGGGGGCTGAACATATCCGTATGGGGCCCTGCCTTGCCCATAGCCCGGGCGGGGGGCAGGGCGAAGGGCACTGGCCAAGGGGAAACCCCCACGGATTGTCTGCGGATGCTTATGTCTCAACATGCCTATACATGAGGAGGGATAGAAGGAAATGCAGGGGATCCCAGTTTCACCTCCCACCCATCCACAACCCCTATGTACCCCCTATTGTACACAGATTGAATTGATAACTGCCTAAGATGAAAGAATCAGACCTACAGCATGGAGTACATGTCTATACCAGTATGGGATAAAATGTATGCACATATGGGTATAGCGATATATAAATGTTAAATATATGAAAAAATAACATGAGATATGCAGGTGAGAGCACCATGGGGGAGGAATGCTACTGGACGCCACTTCAAAACATGCACTGAGTCTGCCTCTGGCTCGTGCCTGCCTTCTTCACTGAGGAAGAATGCAAGCACGACTGACTGGATGGGTAATAGGGACTCACAAGCATGCCTGCAGGGCCTCCATTTCGTCCTGCTGCTGGAAGTGTAGCTGCTTTCAGTCCATAGCCAGGTTTAGGCACTTGACGAAGGGATGACACCACTGCAAGGCATAAACAGTGCCATGCAAGGGGAAGACAAGTCACACACAATACACAGAAACAAACACCAAATAAAACCATGCCATTCAACATCAATGCTATTAATGATTGCTCCAGCCAAAATGTACTGTATATCTAAACACAATAATGGCTACCAAGAGTCAATTACTCTTTCAAATTGGGGATGCAGCTTTCAGAACAGAGTTTCTGGGTACCTGAGCAAAGAGCAAGGAAGAAGTTAAGAAGCAAAATAATTGTACAAAAACCTTTCTTCTTTTTTATTTTCATATTGTACCCTCTTGGAAAGGGCCTCAATCATAAGAGAATGTGATGAAATCAATGCTGGCACCAACTCCAAGATCTCTATCTCCAGCTTTTCTTCCCTCTCTCTAATATCTACAGAGAGATGTTAAAGTATCAAAAAAAGTTCCCAAGTTCGTCTTCCCTGTGCTGTACACAGCACTGGCCCTATCAAGAGTATTGTGCTCAAATTTGAATGCATAAAGAAAGGAAAGTTTCATGTGTGAGTGGTGTTTAGACAAGGGCTGTCATGATGGCTGTCTGGAAAACAACAATGCATCAACCAAAGCTATCAATGGTGCATTGATGCATTGAAGAATTTATATACTGGTCCTGAATGTTACATAGGAAGGAAGGGGCATGGTTGCTAGCAGATTCAGTTGTTTCTCATGATCATTGATCAGCATGGGGGTCACTTCCATCTTCTTTCATTGAGATCAGGGGAATGTCTTGCAAACATTGTTTCTTGTTATCTGTTGGGGTAGGGATGCTTAATGAGTGGGAGGACCAGTGCCTTCAAGTATTGATAGCGACACTGATGCATCATGACTGCCCTAGTTTAGACAAGCCATTACTGAACCCACAGAGGAGACAGCTGTAAGAAAGAGATTTGACTGAGGTGTTTTAAACCTTCGGGTGTCCTCCAGTCAATTTTTTGGCCACTTCTACCACTTCCAAAAATCCTGTAGGCCTATTTTTATGTCATCTAACAATAAGAACTCCAACTACGTGATGGAAGAAACCTAATGAAAAGCCATGGCTGAAAAATTGGCCTTTGACATCTTTAGCAGGAGTACATGTGGCCAAAAAATCAGCTGCATGGCATTAAAAGGGTTAAGCTCATCAGGGACTTAGACAACAGGGCAGCCTTTCTTCAAGTTAATGGGAACAGGAGAACAAGAGGAAAAGGATATTGTGAACAAAATAAAAGAAAGGGGGAGTGATGTAGCTATGAGATATATGATGTATATTCCCAAAAGAAGAATTCAATTTAAAGAAGTAGAAATATCTTTTACAGTAACATGCAGGAGCACTAAATCTCAACTCAGGATTTAAAAATTGCAGGTAGAAATGCCTCTTGATAACCAAATACAAGCCCTGAATTAAGAATGATGAACAGGAGAGGGCAAGCATGATCAGGTACTTTTTTTTGTACCTCTAAATTAACTCAGGTTTCGAAGCAACAGGCTGCATCCCTAATCTTAACCCATTGACGCCGGGAACCATGATATTACGTTTTTAAACCCATAGTGTTCTGGAGTCGCTGGGCGTGAATGTGTTAAGAAACTATTGGTTATGGCCATGCACACCATGAGAAGATCAACAATAACAGCCCATAATGAAGTCAGGACAGCTCCTGGAAAAAATGAAAGGGTAACTTACTACCAAGAGGTGATTACAAGTTGATCTTGCATGATGGTCACAGCTTTAGTAATAACAAGCTCCATAACTATCTAAGATATGTGAGACTGCATTGGGGACATCAGGAAGCATACATGTCAACTACTCAACAGAGAACTTGCTAGGCACATTAAGTTATTGAGCAATGCTACTGTGCTACTATAGTGATTGCATAAAACAGTTTGTTTCTGTTCCACTGCTCACATAGTGCACTGAATTCTCATGGAGTGGAACTGATGGCCTAATATCTATTCCATTATGATAACAATTATGGAGGCAAAAACCAGTAGTGTTCCAAAATGAAACACCACCCCCCCATTTGATAATAATAAAAAAATAATAATAAAAATACAGGTTAAGTATTCCAGAAACAGGTAGATGCTTTGTTACAGCAATAGATGTATTCCAGAGCAATAGCCATACCTTCAGCTTGCCTCAACTATGAATTCTGCTGAATTGAAAAACTGAATGTGCCCACATAACCATTAATACACATAAACACTGATATAGCATGGTGATGTTAATTAAGTTGGAAGCTGTCAAAGAGCATTAACAATTTGTGCTGGTGCATCACTCCCCATAATACTAAAGGTGCACTTAGGTACACTACTTCAACAATCTGTTAGAAAAGGTGAATTACAATAGATAACAGGTAGTGTACACATGTCAATTGATAATAGAGCAGCAAGAAAGAAAATGAGAAGTCTTGGTAAGACAATATAGAAACTTTTCAAAACTTGGACCTCTTTCAAAGTGCATTTCTTCCACAATCATTAAAACAGTTTCTAATAAATTATAGGTCTATTAAATTATATTATATATGCCACAATTTTTTTGTTGCAAGAAACCAATTTATGCTATGTTTACACAATGCATCAAAGCTAAAAGATTTCTCACCAGACATGGAAAATAGTATTCATTTGCAGAACTTTTGCTACTAACAGAAAAATGCATTGCAATTGATCAGAAGAATTTATTATTGCAAAAGAACTCTGCAGTGTCAAATGATCCTACTTTTACTTTTATTGAAATAGAATCAATGAAAATATGTAAATCCCCTAAATTCACCTTCCAATAATCATTCATAACCTCCTGAATCCTGTTTTGAGATATATCGATTTTGAATACCTGTCCTATACATCATAAAGTGGAAGAATAAAAGCAGCAAGGCAAATAATAGTTTAAAGATAACCCATGCTCTATTTTCAAAAGAAAACCAAAATTGAAAACGATTTTCAAACTCCCTTCAAAAAACACTAAATTGAAATTTAAAATAACATGTAAGGTATTCAAGATTCAGGAGGATAATATAAAATTTTATGTTTGCTCTGTCTAAACACACCAAAATTTATGAGAGATCCATCCCAATAGTTCACCACTTTGATTGATCTGTGTACTTCATGCTAAATCCCTAGCACTAATAATATATTAGCAATGGAATATCCCTGTACCAAGCCTAGTTTATTGGCCATTTCTGAATTTCTGCCTTTTCCAGAACTTTTCTTCAGGGAGGATGCAGAAATGGGAATAGGGCCTCAATTTCCAAATCCTCTTCATAATCCCCATAGGAAAGGAATGCTTATTTCTATACAATTTGTAAATTAAGAAGGAACACAAGATAGAGCATTCTTTGGATTCCCATAAGAAAATGCTCATGTACATGTGGAATCGGAACCAGAACCAGAACCAGAAGCCAGTTGGACTTATCTGAAAAATGTAACAAGAGCATACACCCGAAAATCAAAGAGGGCTTAGACATTGGGCTTAGACACAATACTGCAATACATGAATAGAAAATAAATTTCTTGTATAATTACTTACTTTACATAAAAGTCTGCATCCATACAAACCTAAAAATATCTTGAACTCAAAGCTCATCTCATAATTTTAAAGAAAAATGCAAGATTTTAAGAATTATCTATAGAATTATCATGCACACCAGTACTTTGACATTTAGAATATTCAAGTTTAAAGACAGTGGAGAAAATAACATGTAAAGTTGTTGGAACCAATGAATCATATTTGGGAAACATCAAGAAAAATAATGAATGAGGAATGTAAAAAAGATACAAAATTCTGGAAGACTTCCAAGGGATGCTACAGTAGAATGACAAGTTGGAAAAAAACCATAGCTATTCCATGCTCTCATGTTACAATGTCACAAGAATGGCTCATGTCACTAAAAATCATTACCAGATATAATGAATTTGTCTAAATATGAACCTTTCATAACATGGCAAATCTTGGAAGACTTCTTTTGCAGTCAAGAATAATGTTTGCAAGATGCATCACACTTGGAATAAGAAAAATGAGCCATCCATTTTATACTTACTGAATAAAGTCAATAACCCCAAATTAAAAACAAGAACCATGAGTCACATTCCTACCACAGTTCCATGTGTATAAGCTACACTACCTTCACATTGCCAGAAATAAAAATTGTAGATCACAATCCTTGTGGCTTATTAATCACTACTGAATATAAACTTACAAGCAGTCACCAATGAGATGAAATGCTTGTTCTGTGAAATCTAGCTGCCTCCTGTGCTGACATCCTAATAGTAACCTGTCCAGTGAAATTGATATTATTTTCCTTACTCTTTCATTAAAGGGAAATCTCTCTTTCCCTAGCATCACATGTAAAAAATATAGAAAATCCTCATTTATCTGATTTCTTAGGTGGAAATGGAGAAGCAGTCTGGAATATCTCATTTAGAGTTTCATTGACTTGTACATATGTTACTGCCATGTGCTTTGATAACACAAGGGAGAAAATTCCAGTTCTATAATTCTGCTGGAAATTGGCAAACAAATGGGAAAATGATTTACTCCAATTCATTCAGATGAACCTTTAATTGACTGCTTTGAACAAGATGATCTAGCTTATATAGCAAGGAATTTTCTTTAAATGATTTTGATGATATGAAACAACAATGTGGCTTATACACAAGAAAACATGGCACTACAAAAACAGTAATCATACTGAGGGGGTGCAAAAGCTGACAATCCCAAGTTAACTCCTAGGTTGAATGACACCTCCCATGCTCATTATGCAATATTGGTCTAAACACAATAGTTGAAAATGAAGATCCAATGCATGCCTCAAGGTGCCCAACACCTCTTCTAGCAAGGCTTCTAGCATCTTCAAGGCTACTAAGATATTAAGTACATTCTAGTCTAGTAAGGCATTCAGTGCCTTCTAGCCTAAGAAAACTTAGCCAATGAACATTGTTACCAATACAAAGATAAACCTACATATAATAAGAACGAAAGTTTAAATTAAATAATGACTAAATCAGGCATGGAGTTGAACATCAATACACATTAAGTTTCTACCAAAGTTAAGTTTATGGAATTTTTAATATGAAACTACTCTCAAAAGTAATATGCAAATGCTAAAAATATTGCAGAATAAAGGCAATATACACTTTAAAGTATCAATAGGAAAGATATATCCACCTCGGACCAAGAGAAAAGTTCCAAAAAGCTATGGCATGGATGTTGCAAGGGGTAAAGAAGAAAGGGAAATAACAAGAAATTCTGCAATCAAGTCTGAAGATCCTTGATGAAAAGGACTGCGGAGCATTCATGTTTTTCTTGTGTGCAATACAAGAGTCATAGATCTACAAAAAATTCTAAAACTGCAACAATGGTTTAAGTTTGACTTTTTAAAAACTGCTATGCCTTATAGCAGAATAAATCCATTCATCATGAACATGCTATGCCTGAGGCTGACAGCTGCATACAATAGTCAATTTTTCCAGGAAATCTTTCTTTTTTCACTCATTTGATTCACAGTTGGCTAATGTTGCACTCAAACTCCTCAATTTCTGGATGCCTGTTTTGCCATTGTGAGATATCAATATGATCAATATACAGGATGAATGAAAGTCACTATTTTAAAATTGTAGTACCTTTTGTAATTTTTGGACCAGAACAATGGTTTTTGGGTCAAAAGAAACAGAAACTGATGGGTTTTATGATTTCATTGATATTTTTTCTTGCAGTAATCCCTCATTATGCCAAAATTGAATCATTGACACTGCAAAAATAGCAGCACAGAAGGTGTGGACCCAGAGAAGATGGGAAGCTGCATCCAAGGCATTCTCCTTCCACCACCACCACCTCGACAAAGGTCCTCCACACCTCATACTGCAGTCCTCCATCATGGACAAGAAATGGTGGTGGAAGGAAGATGCCTTGGATGTAACTTCCTACCTCCTATGCTTCAACACCTCATACCCTGCAGCTGCACACGGTGTCAAATAAATTCAGTTTTGGCACCATGGAGGATCAATCCAAACAAACAAAACAATGAAATCATAAAACTTCATTAAATTCTGTTTCTAAAAAATGAAAAATTACAAATGTTACTACAATTTTAAAAATAGTCAGAGATTTTCGAACACCCTGTATATTTCTTCTGGATTATCATAATCTACCAAAAACTAGTACAGCAGAGGTTATGCTTGTTATCAGGTGGATGCAAAGTTACAGCACATATTCTGTTTCAGCATAAGTAAGAAGTTATAAAGACATAGCCTAGCACTGTGTTTTTTGAACCATGGCCAAGAGTTTGAAATCCTCAAAAGCTACAGTAGTATATAGTAATGCAGATTGGCCTACATTTGAAGTCTCTGGGTGCAAAACTTTCTGGAAATGAATGGAATTTGGAAGGGAATACCCATGCCATAGCTTCTCAACAGGATCCAGGATATCTCTGTCTAAAGCTTGTCTCCCTTTCCCACTCAACATAACTTATAACATCAATGAAGGAGGTAGTTACCATTATATGATGGGATAGTTCCCACTGAGCGACCCATTGATGATCGATAGCTGCTGCTACGATCAAACTCCTCCTCTTCCCATGGCCGAGGGTGACCACTATATCTGGAAGGAGCTGAAATGGCAACACAGATTCATCCCTATACACATAGCAATAACTTTTCTTTCAGATCAGACTTGAAAGGATGTCACTTACATGCATTGACTGGTGATTGATACCTTAACCCATAATGTGGTTCTGCTTTGGCACTTGGAGTCCGAGATGCATTTCTGGGGTCAATATGACGTAGCTTCCACTGCCTTAACTTCTCCCTCTCACGTACTTGGGACAGAAATACTTTCCCTATCCCACCAGCTATCTTACTAAGCTCTGCTTCTTCTTTCTGTAGATACAAAACAATTATACTTTCCCAATGAATTCATGACCAAAACTGTTAGCAACATTTTGTGTTGGTTACGTTACAGAACAAGAAGGTAATCCATGCATGGGAGATTTATTTATCATAAGTCCTGTGAATATTGTAGCTTATTCCATATAGTTTCTCATGGGATACATTGGAGGAATTCAAAGTCAGAGTCAACATAAATGAACCCACTGAATTTAAATATTGTGTTGGAGTAAAAATAAATGTTGACACAAAACACTTGTACTCTGACAGGAGCTAATATGAATTGGATGTTGGAAGGAGTCATTATCCCTACACTCTTGCATTAGTGTTATCAATAATCCCCAAAGGTTAACACCTGCTTCAGTTTAGAGTGAACGTTGAGTGTGCCAGGATTGTCATGAGATTGGTCAGATATGACAACAAATCAACCAATCACCAACCAACCTACCATTTCTCACTTATATTAAATTTGGTATTTGGCTTCCTGCCCCAAACCCAGACAGGTCATATTTCAGTCTCATTAGTTCTGTAAGTCAAAAACTACAGGGTGGTCACAATTAAGGGTCACCTGTTAACCTCCATTTTTTTATATTACTGCAAATCAAGAACTTCTTACAACAGTGCCTTGATTAAGGAGTCATCTCACTGGAAATCATGTGAGGAATTCAAAATTGGCATTATGACATTACTTGAGCCAAAAACACACTGTCACTCATCAGTGAAATATTTGATCTTTGAACTTAAAACCCCAAAAATAAAATTCCAAAAAATTCCATGAAAAGGATAATGTCTCTGCAACTGATACACAAAATTACAAACAGTAATATTTTTTGTATTCCATGAGGAAATTTATGAATCAGCAGAAACCTAAAACCTATACTCAGTTATCATATTTGCTCATGTACAGGGTGATTTTTTATTCATGGGACCATTATAAATTAGATGCCTGAAATTTTGCATCAAGAATCCATAAACATGGGAAATGTGTACTCTATGAAAAAAAGTTCAATGTATCCTCCTACCTAAAAGACGTTTTCAAGACAAGGTTAAATCCATGTACGTTTAGAGGCCTGAAGGCGGCCACAGAACGTTAAGTTATTCCATTTTCCTGGATACCCTGCAGGCAGTTGTGCAGAATTACACAACACCCCTAAGACTGGTGATTGCACACGGAGGAGGACACATTGAACTTTATTTTCATAGAGTACACACTTCCCATGTTTATGGATTCTTGATGCAACATTTCAGGTATCTAACTCTTATTTGTTCCAAGATTATAAATATTTATAATGGTTCTATGAATAAAAAATCACCCTGTATAAGGCAAATTTTTTCTGCATATTTTATTGAGGATGATAAGGGTCTTATATTAAAATTTTTTTTTTTTTTTCAGGAAAACTTTTTTATAAGCACACCTCTGGTTCATTGGTCATTTATTGAGATGGAAACAGTGTCTATAGTCAGTAAGAAAAGGGGAAATATAAAATAATAATGTTAATAACAAAAACAGTAAACAGAGGGGGTGGCAACGTTGATTTGCACACATTTTACTTAGAAAAGGAACCTAAGATGTCTGGTGGCATGGAGAATTCATTCAGGGAGCTCTCATTATCGAAGGAGGGGCAATTCCAGAGATAATCATGTGTCTGGGAAATTATTGAGTCAATGAGGTTTTCTGACAAAGCCAGAAGGAAGCAAAATTTTTAAACGGTAAGCTTCTTTGAGGATTTTATTACAAAAGTATGAACTTTCTCTTTTATGTATTCATCCACTTCCTTCTTGAATAATGGAAATGTTCCCTCTTTCTCCATGAAAGACCATTAGATTTGTTAGTGCCCTCCTCAATTTAGCCTTTTCCTTGATCCACTTCCATATACATGTCGCCAATGTCATACTTACAAATTATTGCACAGATACCTTCACTTCCTGAATCACTTCGACTTCTCTCCTGCCATGTAATTTTGCTGAACATTTCCATCGATTTTCACAGATAATGAAACAAATGTTACAGAGACTGTGCACCATGCCATTAAAGGCCAGGACAGTGAATGAGAAACTAAGTTGAACTGACCCCATGACCAGCATTATCCCTTATTCAACTCCTTTGTCCCTGACACTTTCGCTACAAAAAAGGGAGGTGCATCTTATACAGAGTGGTGCATTATACTTGAGCAAATACAGTATATGCTTGATGGGCCAAGGATTGATAGGCCAATCTGTTATTCCCTGAACAGCATGCAAATAAAGCCATCTCTATTGCAATAGCAATGGACAACCTTTCTTCTATATATTATAGGTAAGAACCATCACCAATTTGCCACTGTGATAATGCTATTTGTCTTTCTTTTTTATCTAATGAACCCACTGAGTTTATATCTTGTGTTGATGAAATTCTGGTCTGAATGCTGGAACCTAAACACATGAGTCCTTCCAGAATTCTCATACTCCATGGATTTTCAAATGACACAATAGCAGCTTCTACAACACTGTCCTTACAACATATTGAGACCATAAGATGCTCCAGAATAATGTAAACTTTTCCAAAAGTTCTTACCATAATTTTAGGATCCACATTCTCTTTGGTACTTCCAGTGTCAACCTGATCCTCTTCATCTGAGGGTTCTGCATCCTTTGTGCTACCAGACCAATGCCTCCTTCGTTCTGGAAACCAAGAGGCAGCAGTAGCACTATCAGCATTAGATTTATAAAAATATTGCTGACTTTAGGCATCCCAAAGATAAATAAGCCTCCTCCCTGCAGACTACCCAGTCCACTCTGAAGTCCACCTAAATGACCATAGAGGCAGTCTCACCAGGATCAGTATAAGGAAACGGAGGAGCAGGGAAATCGTCCCGCTCAATCTTTGGTGTCTCTCCTGGGGTTGGAGGTCGAGCAGATGGAAAATGTGCCAGTTCAATAGGCTCCTCATTATTCATATGAGGCGAACGTGGACGAGGTGTTTCAGATACCATTCGATCCACCAGGGCTTTCATGGCTGACTTGGAAGACTGCTTCCCTCGAACCCTTGAACTGCTTCTCTCAGAGGCTGGAGAGAAACAGGCAACATGAACACCATGAAGAGTCTGACAGCAGTATTAGTGATGTTTTGATCCTAAACAGTAATGGTGAAAAGTAATGATAGAACAGCTTCCAGATATTGTATCATACACAAATAGAAATACCTTGTGCAGACTAGGATAGTTATGATAGTCACAATGTCTCATTAACCCTTTGATAGTATGTGATGTATATCTGTCAGTAAACATTCCTCAATGTCATATGTCAATGACTGTTTCAAAGAGTACCACACCCTGAAGATCTAGACTCAAAAGAAACCTGTCCTGTAATTGCTCATAATATGTTTGATGAATAAAACCTTTTCTTTTCTAACCCCAAATTTCATGTGGAAAAAAAAAACAGTCAATGGGTAAAGATAATATGACCCCCCTCCTGCTCCTGTACAGTGAAAAGAAGCAGTAAAAATACCACTTTATGCAATCTTGGCAAAATTAAAAATAGATATTCAAGAAGTGAATTTGTATTGCTTTAGCTTGGCACCAAAGCTTATTACAGATCTGGAGGTTGAACCATTCCATTTCAATTGCATTTGATTCTGATTCATGGGAAAAGCATAGCCAAGCTAGAAGGAAAACATGATGTGAGCCTGAAAGATAAAAATGAAACTCTTCCTTTGATTTGAAAAATGTAATGTGGATGGATAGTTTCTATTGCAAATCTTTTCTGGATCAGAATCTATGACAAAGAACAAGAAGGCCTGCTTTCATCTACAGTGACTTCTCTTTAAATTCCTACCTCCTCCAACATCAATGGGAGATATTTTTATGGTCTCCAATGATTGCTCTCATTGCCCAAATAGAAGCAGCATCTTCCTTATCTCAAATGAGAACTCAGGCATATACTTGCCAGTTGTGTACTATCAGTCTATGCAACATATTTATCCATCTGATTCACCACTTGCAACTTCATCATTACCTTCCAAGATCATGGCTTGTTATCTTGCATTTGCCACAGTTCACTATTTGCAAAAGACATGCAATGAAACAAACTTGATTGATGCAACTAGTAAGTTGGCCATCTATGGAATCTGGCCTGACAGTACAGAAAGAATTTGCTGCTGGTTGTTGCTTCACTGGATGCATCACTGACAGCATTTCACATGTTAAAGGTAGAACAAATTAAAAGTAAAGCCAATTTAGTACATGACTTCACTTACAATCAGGTCGATGGAACTGAGGGGATTTGGGTGCTTTGTCATAGGGATGAATCGGTCTTCGAAGATAGCCCAGTGATGGTTCTGCCGTCAGGTAACTGTATGTGTAGATTCGAGTAATGTCTTCTCCATATGGGGAACGATAGTCTCTTAGGATCAAGCCTGGACTATACATTCGACCAGAATACTGGAATGCACAAAAAATTGAGCACTTTACTTCAAGAGCATCATTTGAAGAACCACAGCTGGTGACCAATGGTACACATCCCAAAGACTTAGGAACTCAATATCATTTATTATTATGGTATATTTATGGCACTATTTTTTTGACAGCAAACAGGACTGTTGGGAAGATAAGTTCTGCCAAGCTGAGTAGAGGTTCATAATGATACTAGTGAATTGGGAGAATTAGATTTTATGTGGTAAAAAGAAAAGTCCCAACTCCACATTAGAATAGTATTGGTGGGAAGGTACTAAGATGCATAGCTTCAACCTCATACACCATACAAATAAAGCTAAAATGGCATGCTTCATCAGTATGTCAGCAATACATTATTGTAAATAAATTCAGGAAAAAAATAAAAAGGAAATGAAACAAGGAACACACCTTTCTATTGAGACTATTGTAGTTACTACATGAGGAACGTAAAGATCCATTGATGCTAGGTGAGCGGGAACGAAAGAATCTTTCAGACTGCAAAACACAGGAACAAAAACAAAGTCTATGACTACAGCAAATCACAAAACAGGCTGCTTCATGCTGGAGGCAGGAGTCAGATGGGATCAGGTTTAGTTAGTCTAACATAAATCAACAGCAACTAATAACTGTGTGTAAAGTCATGTAAAGTACTTGTGTCATGTAAAGTATTTGTATACTTTATATCAAGAGATAGAGCTTAAGAAACTACTCTTTTTTTTTTACTTTTCTCATTTAACCTGTTAATTGGGTATGACACATTGGCTGACAAGGCAGTCTAAGACATGGTAGGCAAAGTAGCAAATCATGTCAAGGTATATTCTATACAAATCCATCAGATGGAATCATAGCCATTGTCATTCCCATTGCATATCACTTACTATCCTGCCTCCAAGAAAGAAGTATACTTGAAATGAAAACCAATTAGGAATAACAAAGTCTCTATATAGAAGTAAATCAAAACAAAAATGTAGGAAAATACTAATAATTATTGTTTTGGAGACACAAAAAGGAAAAAAAAAAAACATGCAAACAGAAATAAGGAAAATTTTAAATTGCAATGATGGGCTCCAAACCGACTGAAGAAGACAATGACAGCACCTGTGTATCACTGATGCTACTTAGTCCCTCTAGTTCCCGAGCTGAAATATCACCATCCAAGTGGCCATCAGCCAGAAGACTGCTGTCTGGACGATCATCAGGGCCAGGACCACATCTTGGATGCCAGATTGCAGCTCCTGTTGAAGGAACACCCAAATGTGGCCAAAGACTATTTTACCAAGATCCCTGTATACTTCTGTTATGTCCTTGTGTAATGACTGGAGAAGAAGACACTTGGACTAACCTTGGACATACATTTCTTCTCCATCACCAAATGGATCTCCACATTTACTACATCTAGCACAAGTGGGATGGAAGTGATGTATCTCCCCAGCCTGGAGCACTTTTCCATTAATAAATCTCCCACAGTAAGCACACTTCACTCCAAACAATTTCTGATAATCCTTCTCGCAATAAGGCTTTGCATCCCTGTTTGATAAAAAAAACAAAAACAAAACACAATGAATGTTTGACTGATGTATCAAGCAGAAAAAGGATAGCAATGACACCCATCATATGTGCATGGTTTTTTTCTCCATTGATTAAATGATGACTCACTTTCCCTTATAGCCTTCACTGAGCATGACACTACAGGCAGCACAACGAAAGCACCATACATGCCATTGATTATCTAGTGCTATCAAAGATTGGCCTTCCTTCAGTTCCTCACCACAACCTCCACATTCTATAACATGAAATTAAGAATAAATCAAGATGTAAAAAAAAAAACCCCTTGCAAATGGAAAGTAACCAAGAACTCACTGGGCAAAGAGGAAGGGCTGGTAGGAGGAGAATGAGAATCAACTATAGGAATATGAAGGCATCTTTGACAGAGGCAATCCTTTCCAGTGAAAGTCACTCGGTCACCAGAAGGAAATGGTTCCCTATAGCAAAGAAAATGTGTGGAACATTCAAGCTTACAAACATCATTTTAAGATGTCAATGCAGTAGAGGGTGTTGCACACATATGACCCCACTCCCTGCCACACACAGCCTTAACTATAAGAAAGAAAGCTAGAAAGACAAGAAGGATAATCTTGGAACTCTCATTTAATCCTCATTCTAATCCTTCCCTTTTTCATCAGTTCAGGTGTCTAATGAGAGTGAAATTAAATTCAATGATCACATACTTGCAACTAAATTTGAGAAGCTTGTGATGTTACAGGTGAATTCATTTCCCAAGGGTTTAAGTATCTCCTCACCTTATCCTGCTTGTCTTGAAACTGTCTGGTATGCAGACAAGGCATATGAACTATTGTAAGTTAATTACTATATTTAAAAAAAAAAGTACTCTTCCTTATGGTGTCCCAGCATTTCTCTGAGCTCTTATATTTAAGATAGTCGTGGGGGGGGGGCTATCTGTGTACAACACCCTATACAAAAATAAGAAGTCAAAAACTTCAAATATTGCCAATTGCATATGCAATCAGAAATTCAAAGACCCTACCTGGATATGTCCATGAAAAAACATCAAGTTGTACTATCAGTTGAGATTAATTTTGCTACATGAAAAAAAAAACTAAAAAAGTAAAAACATGGTCTGGTTCTATGCCTCAACTGTGCACTCAATCAACATTTCCTGGTCTGAGAATAGCTTGCCTTTCACAGACTATGTAACATACAGAGAAGTAGTAGCTCCTTTTGGATGGAACAGAACTCAAGTGGCAAAGGATGACAAGATGACAGAACATCAGGCTGGAATTTTTATTATTTAATCTAAAGAGGCTGCTTTTGCAATTTTCATTAAACAGGTGAAGTCAGGAAGCAAGGTTAAGAATGAAAGAAACTGTCTTTAAAAAACCATCATTATATGCATTCTACAGGTTAGCAAAAATGGGAAACATCAGTGAAAAGATGCAGGAATGCAAAGGAATCTCAGGCTATGCTAGGAACAGCATATATATATTCATAGTACACACTGCAATGCTTTACAAGCAAAAGCATCAAGGAAGAAGCAACATTTGCATCTCCATGTTTCTCCCAACTTACATGCAAACACAAACGGTGCTTCTCTCCATCTTTCCATAACTGCATCCATGTGCCAACTGGCCTTATGACTTTTAAACTGGGCATCAATCAGGAAAGCTCAAAGCTCCACAGGTCACTACCACTTTGAACTGACCCATTCATGAAGTTAAAAAGGACCTATTACTATTATGTCATCTAAGACTGAAAGGAATGGCACTAACTTGCAACGGCCACATCGGAAACATTTCCGATGGTATGTATTACCCAATGCTGTGACAACTTCACCCTCAACATATTCACCACAACCTCCACATTTGGTCCCATAGTATTTCTGGTAATCTCTGGTACAATAATAATTGTTCTCCTTGAAGAAGAAGCCTCCACGCTCCAAAGATGTATTGCAAGCTGAAAAAGAGCAGAATAAGCTAGACCATCAAGATCATGAGACAAGGGAAAAAATGTTTAATTTTTGCTTTCTTCTACAGTCATTGATAACTGATGAAAACGTTGTGAGTATGCCTACTGATCCTAATTCCTTTCCTCAAAAACCAAAACCGAAGTAAGAAATCAGCCTGAGATCCTATTAGTCAGTCATTTGCTTATGGCCCTATAGAAGTCAAGATATCTTTATTAGTATATTGGTGTTTTTATTTCATAATTTCAACATTTTTACACTGGAAAAATGTTATGCAAGTAATTCTGAATAAAAACAAAAACAGACTTGGAATTAAAATGCCATTCATAACCTAGTCTCTCTGAGCACTTACAAACCTTACTGAATAAAAATATGAATTTTAACTCTTGACTGTCCTGCCCAAGATTTCTTAGGTTCAGCACACTGTGTCCACTATGGCATGCCTGAAAATTCTCATTTTAGTATCTTCAACAATGAGTAGATAATAAAATAACAAAATCATCAGTTTTCAGTGATTAAAAGTCCCACATTCATTTTTTCCGTTGTACCTTGACAAGTTTCACACTTCAGAAAAACTCACCACTGGGTTTTTAAACAACACACAAAAACTCAATCAACAGTCAAGGGGTTAATGCCTTGAAGTGTTTCTACATTTATTTTGGCTCAACATGTGCATCGTTACCCAACATCAAGTCCACTGTCTAGAGGTAAATTTTTTCCTTTCATTTTTTCTTATGCAATTGGCTGACTTCTCTAAACCTTGAAGTTGTTTCTCCCAGGAGGATAACTAAATGGAGTCCCTGTATTTTTGCAGAAAGCAATACACTAGAATCTTTGCTAGTAATCTATTGGCATATAATGAGGCAAGAGTAATGAAGAAAGATTTAAAAATAGTCATGAAGACAGCAGAGGGATGAAGAAAGAAAAAAGCTGAAGAAAGCTGGAGCTCACCAGCACATTTGAAGCAGGTGACATGAAAGTAATTGTCTTGCACCTTCAGGACTTCACCAGAGCACTTCTTGCCACAAAGCCCACAAGCAGCTTTCCCTATAAACAGAATCCATTGCTCCATTTACATTTTTACCTCAGCACCATGGACTGCAAAATGTTCTCACTCTATAAACAAGAGATTCCTGGAAATTGTCATGATCCCTTCACTCACAAACCTTTTTCTGTTCCAAGTCACTATTTGTTTTCGTTTGGCTGAAAAAGATAGAAGGGGAAGAGTGTACACTCACCTTTTCCTTTCGCCATCGGTATCACGGGGGGAGAGTCCAACACACTCAAGTAAAGAACAACAACTTTCACTTTTCAAATTCAGTTCTCGCAAGTCATCTTTCTCAAGTCAGGAGCAACAAAGAACCACTCATGTCACCTCGGTGTCATCTGTGAGAGCAGAAAGGTAGACCGGTCGACGTCAGGTTTATGTTTGGAATTTTAGTTCTACAGAAGCACTGACAAACACGCCTAATGCCTATTGCATGCAAACACACCTAGTGTCTACCATGGAGAGAATAAAGCATGCATAATTGATGGGCTTCTGTATGACCACAGCCGAAGGTCTAGTTTACATAAGCACAGGAATAAGGGATACAGCAGAATGCCCCCCAGACAAGAGTAAAGATACAGCACGCGACGCTTAACTGGGTCATGAAAAATGAAGACCAGCTGAAGAGGAACAGACGCTCCTCTAACTCCTACCATCGCTCTGCAGACTATCAAGGCGTAGCCTTTTCCTCTTTCTCTTTCTCTCCCTTCCCCTTCCCCCTATTTTTCTTCTACGCACCAGACACTCCTCCTAGGCTCAACTGATTGACATTGACCTACATGCTGGCAAGGCATGGGTTTAGTCGACAAGCTCCAAGCATCATTTCATTCCTTCTCGCAACTCAAGTCAGTACCAATCTTCATCGTATGGAGAGTCGAGAGTCATACCCCTCATCCTCTTCTTCACGGGAATTTTTAAATTACCATATTAGAACTTGAGTATCAGAGAGCAAGGAAAGGGACAAGTGGAGCCTTCATGGGTCAGGTTTGGAAATCTAACATACACACAAAAACAAATACTTTTATGGCTTTTTTAACTTTTACTTACAACAATGCAATATTTTCCACATGGCCCAAGTTAAGGGCTGGGGAGGGGAGTGGATTGAATGAAGGGGAATTAGTGTTGATGAATGTCATTCAGGAGGTTCATCTGAGTGGAAATCCTCTGTGACTCATTGCCCGTTCACTCTCCATGGATCGTTGAGATGAAAAGCATGACGAGATCAGAGAGAGGTGTAAAACAGCGATAAAAATGAGCTTAAGATGAGGGCGGGAGATGAACGCGTCATGCTTTCTGCATCCCTTAGCCCACTACTTCCGTGCAGCTGGCAAGGTCACACTCTCACTTTCACATACACATTCTTCACTCGCACTCGCACTCTCACACACCAGCATCCATGTGCCGACGAAGATGAGGCAGTTTTTAAGGTTAACCAGGTTTCGCATCGTTGCGACATACCGTGTCGAAAAGGTAAGGGCTGCAGTACGCAGTTGAGTGAGGTAAGTAGAGGAGTGAGCGAAGAAAGACAAAAAAAACCCCAAGGTGGGGTTACGAATGCGTCATCCATCGCGAGGGGAGCTCATATGTGGGCCCAGGAGCTCACAAGGCTCCACGGGGAAGCTACAAATATCCTATCCCCATGCCCCCTCCAGCTTGAGGAGATCCGGGGAAAGAAAGATTCCTCCCCTACTTGCCTTGCTGGGAGAAACAGGAAGTGCCCGGCGAGTCACTGACAGTGTGAATGTATCGGTTATAAACCATCAGAGGAATGCCTCTTCGGAAGAGACCGCCAGGTAGATAATAACGTGGTTTGACGATTGCCCAAACCTGACATAATCAAGCAATATTCTCAAGCACGTACACTCAGATTTAACCGAGGCTGAGGAATTCCACATCAGTGGAGAGAAAAGGCACAGAGGCTACGACCTGAAGTGGAAAGATCTGCACATGCACTCACGCACACACACACCAATATAATCAGGCATATAGGGGGAGCAGAAGATACACACAAGTCCGCTAGATAAGAGAAAGAGAGAAGCCCCGGTCCCAGGTTTGAAATCACTCAGCTGAGAGGATGGTTGGGAAAACTCGGGGGTACCATGAGCGATAGAGTCGAGCCGCACGAGCGCACTCCTCTCTCTGAGCAAGGCAAGGGAAGGGAAGGGAGGAAAGAGAGAGGAAAGAGCGAGGGAGCCACCGATCGATCCTCCTCCTCCTGTACACCCCCCTTGCGCCCTTCCCACTCCAACAGGGGATTCTAGACTTTCATTCATGAGAACACTTCCTCCTCTAAATGACGCGTACACATGATCATTCGAGGTAATAGCTCCCCTAACATAAAATATCCCCTGAGGGGATTCACGTCATTCGTCCGCTTGCAAACATTAGTCATCACGTTACACGTAGTTCTGCCCCCATAAACATATTGAGGAATGATCATAGAGAATGGAATAAAGGGGCGAGTGAATGAGGCTGGCAGAGGAAATCCTTAATTCTCTTCATCAACATGAGAACATTTCCCACGGGCTTTTTCCCTCTAGGTTCCTTCCCCTCACCTTTTTTTTTTCTCTCTCAGGAATGCTCATCAGTATGAGCTCAACACCTGAACAATTTCATTCCATGCACAGTTCAACATTATAACTGAATCAAGAAATCCAGAGCTAACTAGGTAAAAATAAAAATGGGGGGACTGACAATTACTTCATGAATGATCTCTGGCTGGAACATCTTATATGAATTTTAGACACACCAAAGAAACATAAAGTATTTTCTCCGATACTCCTTGAAGCAAATCTAAATTTACTAAAACTAACTCACTAACTAAATTAACTTAACCCCTTGAACACACCAGATATTGGACAATTTCATACCCATGATACAACAGAATATTGTTTGCTTTTTTTAAAACAATTTTTTGTTTCTGCTAAAGTTCTCTATTTAAATGCAATTACCTCTGATTTTACTTCCTTTTGTGATACTTTCCCTCCATGAGCATCATGAGTACTGGTAGCATGGTTTCTCCATGACACATAGCAGTGCATCATGTGTGTCCAAGGGGTTAAAGACACTTCACAGCATGCACTAAACATAGAGGCAAGAAGGAAGGTGGATGTAAGGGTAAGGGTAAGGTCAAAATTCAACCAAGTTATGTGATTTTCATCAAGGTTCAGTGAAAACATCCATTTGATTCAGTCCAAGGCAAGAAGCATGCTTTAATTGAAGACTGCACAAAATTGTTATGGCATGACAGTATATCACCAATCAATACAGGTTCTTCATGATGATAATCAGCATGATCCAATGTTTTCAATATGTTCAATCAAATACTCCACATATCTTGCAAAACAGCAGTCCTATCTTCATCCCTCGAGTTCTGTTTCAACATTAAGAAGAGATTTCTATTTTGCCCTATGCCATTCCAGTAGGTTGATGGAATTAGTGTCACATTGAATTGTTGCCTGAAAAGTCAAGTTACAATGCTTCAAGTGACTCACACATTCCTTTCTTTTATTCATTTATATAACTGCCTCAGGAACCAAATGTTAAATTAGCAATGTTGAACTAATCAGTAACCTTGAAAATTATTTTTTTTTTATGGAGTCTTTGACCCCCACCCTGGGAAGTATAAGCAAGGCATTTGATAGAATGAATATAAAAATTCAGAGAGCCAGAAATTTTGCATGGAATTAGGGAAATGGGCCAAATAAATTTACGATACATGCTCCAAGCTACATGAGGATATTCTACAAACACAACTGATTAAAAAAAAGGCAAGTTATCAGGGACCCAAGGTAATATACAGGTCATCAAGTAGTCAGTAGAAGAGAGAAGCAAAAGTGCAAGATATCCTTCAGATCGAGGAGAGATTATTTGTGAACTCAGAGCCTAGATTGAGAACCCCAACTTATCTGTTAATGGGAAATTGTCAGTTTCCACTAATAGCTGATGTTAATGATCAACCTTATCTTGAGGTAACCCTCAATGAAGTTCTTGTTAACGATGAATCATTTTCACCACTAAAATGCCTTAGAGGTTCCTGGGGTGAGACACATTTTCTCACTTCCATAAAAGATTTCATGGGATTCTGATTTTTTTTATTTTGTTCAAAAAATCTTGGGAGATTGAAGAGTCCATTTACAAAAATGTTGAAAGAGAACCTATAATTGTACAAATTTTCCCAAAACCAAATAAAAGATCCTAATGAGAATTGGCATCTGTATATACGAGAACAACCAAGATATAGAACAAGTCCTGAACACTTATTGATCAACCCTTGGATAGGATTCCTTCTGGGGCAGAGGTAATGGCACCATATGACTCACAATGAACATCATACAGACAGACAAGATCTAGGCTTGCTAATAAAGTATGGTATGAGGTTGTTCAAGACTACAAAAATATACCATGCAGATCCTTCTCTGTGACATGACAGGTCTGAGCTGTCAATATAAACCATACATTTTTCCATTGTCTCATAGCATGGAATTAAGAAATTAATACAATATAGTAACTGTTATTACCTTTTACACAACTATCACTTATAAGCTAAATAATTTAATTGATATTCCATGACTATTCTTAATACATATGGCTCATAAGACTCCCCATTTATTGAATTGCAATTCATTTACTGATTCAATAAATAAAGCTTTTCCCTATCATAATGCATATTCACTTGGTCCAGCAACTAGTCAAATCCAGCACATGAGCACCCAACTAGCATAGACCAACAAAAAAAAAGTCAGTGATGATGCTTACCTAAGGTTACTAAGCAGATTGATAAAATTGCAGCTATGCATTGATTTACTGCAACTAAAATGCAATCCTAGAGAACACCACCAGATATTGCAAACTATTGCCAAGGATGAACTAGGTATGTACAAAATGTACCAGATTGGGTATTCATATGCAAGGTGTATAGTTGAGTTGGAGGCAAGCTTGGCTCCCAAGGTGGAGCACCAGGTTTGAAACCAACAAACTGAGAAATTTACAGTGACTTTTGATTGGATGCACTCTTCCTAGTTTCTATCACAAAGGGCATAGGGATTCAATTTATAATAATAATAATAATAAACACTACACTGCTAAGTGCAAACCAAGGTGTGTTTGGGGAGGGAGAACCTGAACATATAGCACCTGTCATTCGATGTGGAACAAGAATCTGGGTGGTGAAGGCTGAACCTGGATATCTTATCAGAGTAAAGCTTTATTGAGTATCCATTGGGATCTGGGATTATACAGGGTGTCCAACACAAAATGCTGAATTTCAACAAATACAACTTTTTAACTGGATACCTACATCCTTAATTTAAAGATCACTGCATTACCTTGTCTAAAGACTGAAGCTCTAGGA